CGGATTCTCCCCTGAGACTCCAGAAGGACGGGGCCTGTTGACAAGCGCCTTTAAGACTGGTCTTGGATCCTGAGTTGCCAAAACGCTAAAAGAGTGCATTGTTTCAAGCACTGAGTGAGTACTAAACTTGTTACAGTAGCAATAGGAAACTGATACAAAGTTTTACAGCTTCTCCTACCCCTCTTGGAACATTTTTATCTAGGAACTCTGACCTATTACCTAAAGATTACAGCCATTCTGAAATGTCAGTCATTGTTACTGAGGAAACCTGTATCTGCCTGGGTCAGCAGTTCTAGCTGTGAGAAAACCCTTCTTGGACCCTCTGGTGAGCCATGCTAGCTCCCACCCTCTGGCTGAACCCAGTTGGGGCTATCCCTCCCTTATTCTACTTTTATTATCTCAGCTAAGACACTAAAATGTCTTTATTCATGTGTCTTAATTGGCATAGGAAACGCTTTTCTCTTTGAGCAAAAGCTGAGATCATCCCAATCCATCCCAGAGGCTAAGAAGTAGGCAGGACACAAGTGTTTCCTTCTCATGTCGTCCTGAGGGACAGGCTGTGGAGAACAGGGAATGAGTTTTTAAAGGTACAAGATCGATAGCAGAGTGATCTCCATGACAAAACTTGGTTATGTGTAAGCACTCTACACATGCCCAACCCAGCAGCTGCCAGACTATCATTTTGTCTAAGACCTTTAGGCCACTTGCCAAGTACTCCAAACAGAGTGCTTTATCCTACCTTAAAGAAACTGTCACAAGTGGAGAAGATTGAAGACATTATAGTTTAGTATTATAAAAGTAATATGGAGTACATCAGTAGCAAAAACAAATTTTAAAAGTACATAGTTACTGTTTATACAGAGAAACAAACAAAAAAGATGAAAGCTAATAAATTTGCTGCAAACAGGAAAACTGCACTATTCACTTGGATATAATATGTGTACTTTCTTTTCTTTTTAGAGTAAAGTGTGAACACAGTCCCTCACTAACACAAACTTTACAGTCAAAGTTTGTCCTACATGGGGAAATCAGAGGAGTCAGCCATAGACAAGCCTCACCTTAAGAAAACCACCTACTCGATCACGGTATCACCCTGCCAGGTAACTATCACCTTGATGTATCTTATTTGCCATATGTAAAATTGTTTTTTTTTAAGTTTTTAATATATATGACAATAATATTCCCTAAGAAGCTTTTTTCAGTTCTCATCTCTTACGATATCTCTGCCAAAACCAGCTCTTGTCTTACATAACTCTACAGTAACTGTTCATTAAGCCTTAGTAAGTACTGCAATCAGCCTCCAACATGACGTCAGTGGCTCCCAATCTCTGATGTAATAGTAACATCCTATGTAGAAACCTCCTACAAGGTACCACAGCAAACAAGAGATGCTACGTCTAAGCCTGTATCATAAAAGACGGGCTTCCAGAACTCCTTCCTTCTCCTGACCACCGTCCTCCCTCCTGCCTGTCTCTCTCTCTCTCTCTCCCTCCCTCCCTCCCTCCCTCCCTCCCTCCCTCCCTCCCTCCCTCCCTCCCTCCCTCCAAGAATTGTGTCTTGAAAGCTTCAGTCCTGTAGAAAGGTCCATATAAAAAAGAACTGACACCACCAGCCAAAAGCCATGTAAGTGAGTCAAGCTGGGAATGACTCCTCCAACCCCAGCCAGGACCTCAGAAAGTCGAAAGCTTGATTTCAATATCATGAGAGACTCTGAATAAGAAATACCCAAATGAGTGGCTCCAGGATTTGGGAACATTAGAAACTGTGAGGTTCTGTGTTTCTCTGTTTGATATAACTTGTTTTATAGTAACAGGTAACAACTAACACAGTGACTTCTTCCTTGCTTCAAAAGCAAAATGTACTTTGAAAGGCTTTAAAAATAAACAGAAATGTTAGTTGCAAAAATGAAGAAAGAGTTTGCTTTAAAAAAAAAATCTTGGCTAATTGGCTAATACTAACATCTGTATTAACACCAGCTTGTCAGCTCTATTCTTGACAGCGCCACCCCTACTGTCAATGGAATGCCTGCTACCTCTGGAAGAGAAAACAAGTTGAGCAGGTAAGAGTGCACCATATACTCTGTCTTCAGATAGGAAAGGAAAAAATCAGTTTGTAATTTTAAAATCGAACAACCCAACTCACTAAGATAAGATATCCCACAAGGTCGGCCTCATCTGTTATAAGCTGATTGTAGAGTGATATCTTGTCACAAATTATACCACAGGCCTACTGATAGACACATGAGAAAGATTAAGGACTGAGGGCCAAATTTCAGCACATCTTATGCCCCATCTCAAAGCAGAGATATTTTTTTTTTCTGCGATGTCTTATCAAAGCCAGAATGCTTCCTAGGATGACCTAAGCGCCTTTCCAAGGGCACACAGGCTTCCTGTAGTAAGAAACAGCCCTTTCATGGCGACTACGCCTCATTAGAAAGCATAGGGAGTACTCTGCATTCAGTACATTAGTTGGTAGTTTACAGAATGAAGACGGATGACAGGGCCCACTAGTAAGGCACTTGTTGCTCAGCCTAAGGGCCTCTGAGTTTGATGATTTGGGATCAGTGTGTCAGCAGGAAAGACTGGACAACCCCCACACATTGTCTACAAGCATACAATGACAAGCTCACGCACAAATAAATAATTAAAGTATAACAACAACAACAACAATAATAATAATGAGGAGGAAAAGGAGGAGGGGGAGAAGGAGAAGAAGGAGAAGGGGAAGGAGAAGAAAGTAAACCTGAGAGGTTTTCGTTTAAAATGAACAAGCAAACCCACTGATTTCAGAATAGTCTGTATGAGGAACATGAATCCCCAATGCAGTGAGATCCTTTACCTTATGTAATTGGTGAACAAGGTGACTTACTTACTAAGCAAGTCTAGTTATCCCCTTAGCTGTGTCCACTGGTGATAAAATTGTTAAGTGAGAACCAAGGCACGCTAAAACCTAATGCAGCAGCACCTCTAAGTGTCACTTAACCGGAAAGTTAGTCAGAAGCATCAACAAAAATAGACGACCACACTTTGAAGCACTTTAGCTTATAAAGAGGAGGTATTAAACCACCAAATTGTTTCCTATGTATTTACCCCTATTTTTCCTGAGCAAATACATTTAAATTGCCAATGGCTTCCTCAAATACTTAGATCATTCAGTTTTATTGATGCTAATAACATCCATGGACTTGAGGTTTTAGGTCTTTCCAAGGATATCTAAAACCATCTTAGATCTAAAATACTGTCTTCATTAGAAAATGTAACACTCCTACCAGATACACTGCTGGGATGTGCAAAAATAGATATAATTTAGCAAGTCAGGTATTGCTATTGTAAAACATGCTTTTCAATAACTGCTATAAAATTGTATTCAAGGGACCCTCCAATCTTGTAGCATGTTGACAATGTAGAATTTCCAAGACCTTACTTTAGATAAGGGAAAATGATGTTTACATAGTCTCACCTGAGTGACAAAAACTGACTTTCTAAGATATGACTGCCTATATTGTTTTCAAAGAGCACCTTCTCAGAACTGAGTTTTTAAGCCACACAGAGAACACACACATAGACTAAAGGGATGCTAGTGCTCAGTATAATTTTCTGTAGTGTGATTTACTGTCTGAATTGATTGGAATACTTTGGTTTCCTGTAAAAAGTGTTGTGGGTAAGCAATGTCTGAAATTATCCATTATTTCATATTGATTCACAATCCCCCAAACTGGAAAAAAATTAAAGTAATAAAGGATACAACGAATAAAAAAGTTTCTTAAGTTGTATAAGTAAGCAATGCTAATATCAGGAAAGAACTCACTTTCCTCTCATGCACAGGCCAAACTTTCAAGATTCTGAAAGCCCCGTTCCAAATCAGTGCTGAAGTACTCCATACTTCAGAGCCTATAGAATGTTTACATGATACTATGTAGTACCAACTTCAACTATTTAAAAACTTTCCAGCCGGGCAGTGGTGGCGCACGCCTTTAATCCCAGCACTGGGGAGACAGAGGCAGGCAGATTTCCGAGTTCGAGGCCAGCCTGGTCTACAGAGTGAGTTCCAGGACAGCCAGGCATACACAGAGAAACACTGTCTCAAAAAACAAACAAAAACAAAAAAAAACTTTCCAACACATCCAAATGTCACATGAAATAGTAGCTGTGTTTTTGTGTATAGAACAGAATTTACATAGCAAGAAAAAAAACAAAAACAAAGACTTTAACGACTGAATCCATTTTAGTCTTTGCATCTTTTCAATGCCTTTACACGTACACTCAAATTCTGACCTACCACATTCCGCACTTGTTTTAAAAATATCCTATCTTAACATGCCTGTTTAAAAATAGATTTCCTTTCATCCTTTCCCAATTATTTTTAAGTAGAAGTGTGCTTTTCATTTTCAAGTCACAGATTCCCTAACCCCAACCACCCAAAACCTCACTTCACTCTTTCAAACTCCAAGGAAACAAACTCCCAGAGTTCAATTTGAATCTCCTGCCTTCCAGTACGCACAGTTGCTGGCTCGATATAATCTTTCCAACTTCCCAAGGAAAAGATTTCCTTGGGCATTCCACAACCAGATGTGAGAAGCAATATATAACCTTGAGCATCTTGGGAGGACATCCACACACCTTCAAGAAAGTTTCCTTCTACCTGTCCAGTTCCTGGCACTTTCTTAGACCAGGCAGGGCATGCCACCTGCATGGGTACACGTTCTCAGGAAGACACCAACGTCTTAGGGAATGGAGGGCTGGAGAGAGGAGGCACAGGACAAACCAAAACACAACCCCGAGAGTCAGCTAGCATTTCAAGGATGAACCTCCTAAATTCCACGGCCAGGGAGGCACCAGCCAAGCTCGGCCCTAGCTACCTGGCACAATCCGCGCGTGTCCTACCTGTCTTGGGGACACTTGGGAAGTGGAAAGTTCCTTCTTTGAGCCGTGCCAGAGTGTGGGGAGGTAACAGGGGTCCGGGAACTAGGTCTTCCCAGGCGGCCGGCCCCACCCGCTTACCTTGTGCGATGGCAATGGACTCGAAGCGGTGCAGCTCTTTGAGCAAGCAGCTCCTCTCGGTGGAGTGCAGGCTGTAGATGAAGTCGCGCGCGCCCTGCGCCGTGTTCAGCGCCTCCATGGGCTCCTTCTTGGGGTGTGTGCCCAGAAGCCGGGGACTGCCAGGGACCCCGAGAGCCAGCAGTTCCCGGCCGCAGCTGCACCAGGACGGCGGGCGGGGCGAGGCGGCAGGGCCCGGCCTCAGGCTGCGCGCCGTCCGGCTCCCCAGCAGCGGCAGCAGCCGGGACATGGCGTGGAGCGCGACCCCCGCAGCAGTCCCAAGGGAAGACGGCTTCGGGCGCAGCTGGACAGAGGCTCAGGAGCTGGGCTCAGCCCGGCCCCGCCCCGGGTCCTCCTGACGCGCGGCCCGGGCGCCCGGCACCATGCACTCGGCGGGCCCGCGCGGCGATCGCCTCCCAGCCGTGCCCGCTCCGCTTTCCGCAGGCCGTGAGCCCGGGAAAACTTTCTGTGCCGCGGCCGGGCTGGGAGCTCGGATCCGGCGGGCGGGGCGGGCGGGCGCCTCCCGATTGAGGAGCGGCGGCGCGGGAGAGCTCGGCGAGCGTGCCTGATCTTCCAGAGGGATGAGTCACCGCGCGCCGCCCTCCTCCGGCGCCGCCCTCCGCCGCCGGCCGCTCTCCCACCCTCTGGCTTTACGCCGGCCCCGCTCGGTAGGGCTGCTGCGCCCTCAAAGCAACCGCGCGGCGACAGTCAGGCCGTAGCCGCAGCCGCCACCCCTAGCGGTGGAGCCCGGGATAGGAGGGCGGAGCGGTAGGGAATGGGCGGGGCTTGGGCGGAGTTACGCAGGCGCATAGCCGCTTGGGAGGGAGTTCGTCCTGGAGTCTCCACCCACTCCCTTGCGTGGCGAGGAAAGGAAGGGGTGCTACCCTGTCAGACGGCATCCGCCTGTATTAAATGCACTGCAGGGAGCAACAAAAAAAGAGTTCAGGGTTGGATGCTCGGGGGGGGGGGGGGGTACAAGTGCCGCACTGCTCTCCGAAGCACCGTCCTAAGTCTGGAGTTTGAACGGTCCTGGAAGAGCAGCGGGATGGATAAGAGCCTCGTGGGGTCACCGCACCCTGCTCAGGCCTGTGGGACATGAAGCACAAAGAGCCGCGCCCTTCGCCAAGCCAGTACCCACCGCGGCCAGACAGTGCGGCGCTAAAACGCCCTCTCTGACAGCTCCCTGGAGAAGGCAGGGCCGGTTCAACCCGTCCCAAAAAGAGGAGGGTTTGACACTGCGACTTAATAAGGTTTGGGGTGGAGAATACTCTTCCCTGGCCGGACAGCTCTTTACTTGCAGATTGCCAACTCTGGAGCCAGGGCGAGAATGTCATAAACCTTTATCGAATGGTCTCTGGTGATTTACGTCCCTCTTTTGATGCCACGCGGAGGAGAGAATTCTATGGTTTTCTCATCCTTCTTGTCCAAAGCCTAGATATCTTCAAGGTCGGGGCCAAATGTCACCTACTCCATGAAGCTTTCCCTTCTTTGTAAGGAAGATCACTGCTTTATCTGAACCTATCTAAGGTCACTTAGGCACCCTATCTTAGAAAAATAAATCTGCTTAGACGATAAATCTACTCAAGTGTAATCAAGATCCAAATCCCTTCTTTATCGTAACCACCGCTTCAGCCAGCTCAGAACCTTGCGCGAAGTGAATATGCTATAAGTACGTAAGACAGCACAGTCAGTCCCCACATCTGTGGTTTTGAATTTGCAAATGTAGTGAACCTCAGACCAAAAGTACTTAGAAAGAATGTGCATCTGCCTGGAGCATCTGCAGACTTTTTCATTATTCTGTTAATAGGACAGTGTAACAACTATTTCCATGCACCTGCACTGTATTGGTTATTATAAGTAATCGAGACATAATTTAAAGTATCTCAGAGAGTCCAATCAGCTGTATTTTTATAAACCCTTCAGTTAAAATGAATGCCCTCAAGAGTTAACTGGGGGAAGGGGAGACCCTCCCCTATAGTGAGTGGAACCTTCTGCGGGGTGGCCTAGAGAGGAAGAGGACTCTGGGAAACTCCGATGCTGCTTGTTTACACTGCCTTCAATTCTAACCGGTGAGCTTGTCCATCTTTGTTACTACTGCTGGCCTCCAGTGACGCCACTGGTCAGCTTCTTCAGTCTTCTGATCTGGAATGAAGACCAGAAACCCTCCAGGAATCTTCCAAATCCCAAAATGTGGACTGTCGGTACATCCAGCTTCATTTCATGTTCTCTCTCTCTCTCTCCTCTCTCTCTCTCTCTCTCTCTCTCTCTTTCTCTCTCTCTCTCTCTCTCTCTCTCTCTCTCTCTCTCTCTCTCTCTCTCTCTGTGTGTGTGTGTGTGTGTGTGTGAGTGTGTTGCAGAAGAGGGGGGGTGTCCTTGCAAGCTCTACAGCAGAAGGTAAACAAACCACCAGGCACAAGCAAGAACCTCAGTTCAGCAGTCAGCTGGTGCTGATTCAAACTTCTGGAGTCTGACACCAGGCCAATTTATATTAGACTTATTTGAATACAGTCCAATTTTGGAACAGTTTCTTGGTAACAATTATCCCAATACCACCTGCACAATAAAGCTTAAGGCTACATTGAAACTCATTTGTAAAGTACAGGTGACCTCTACCATGAAGATCGGTTCTTTAGCTTAAGGGCCTAGGATCTAGTGTGATCTTGGTTATGCAGATAGAACAAAGGTCACCAGGTTATGAAGTACACATGACACCTCCTCTAAGGATGGGTTGTATTGACTGAGAAACAAAGGGAGGTCTAAGGAGAAAGAGTCTGGGATAAACATTAAATGGATTTGAGTGTGGCCTAGCCCTATAGTTAGAAAGGTCTCCAAGTTATTAACAACATTCACTCCCAGCCTTTTGGGTGGAAAACATACACATTTTTTCCATTGAGGAGACAAGCCTGTGTGATTGACATTCCTAGTTTCTACAATGCTTCTCTGTGAGTGCCCATGCCCTCTACAGTACTGAGTGGCTTCTGGGTTCTCCGCCTTTGCAGCATACAGATGCCATTGTTGGAATACACACACAAACGAACACACACACACACTGGGTTCTGTTTCTGTCAGAACCCATCAGCCATTGTCTGAATGTGCTAATAGTACATTGTTAAGCAGGGTATGGTGATGTACAATTGTAATCTCAGCACTTGGAAGGCAGAGGCAGGAAGATCAAGTAGTTCTAAGGCAGCCTTAGCTACATAGCAACTTCAAGACCAACGTGAGCTACATGAGACCGGTGATGGTTTGTATATGCTCAGCCCAGGGAATGGCACTACTAGAAGGCGTGGCCCTGTTAGAGAGGGTGTGGCCTTGTTGGAGCAGGTGTGTCACTGTGGGCTTTAAGATCCTAGTTCTAGCTGCCTAAAAGCTAGTCTTCTCCTAGTGGCCTTCAGATGAAGATATAGAACTCTAATCTCCTCCTACACCATGCCTGCCTGGATGCTGCCATGTTCCCACTTTAATAATAATGGACTGAACCTCTGAACCTGTAAACCAGCCCCTATTAAATGTTGTTCTTTATAAGACTTGCATTGAATGTTCAAAATACCACAAAAACAATCTCCAGGCCACATGCTGAAATTCTTCTCCACTAAAACCTCTTGGGCCAGATCTGCAGAGTTCAAATCACTCTCAGCAACAAAGTCTCTCATATTCCTACTAGGATGGCCCATTAAGCCCCAGTTAAAGCATGCCACTGCTTTCCAAATCCAAAGTCCCAAAATCCACATTCTTCCAAACAAAAGCATGGTCAAGAGTATCACAGCAATACCCCAGTCCCTGGAACCAACTTCTGTCTTAGGGTTTTAATGCCACGAACAATCACTATGGCCACCCAGCCAATCCACTGGCTATAGCCCATGAGTCAGTAAACAATTGTATATCTGGCCTTTTCTTCTTCCAAACAAACTGTAATACTATGTGTACTGCCCAAAGTTCTGCCCACTGTGAAGATTTTCCTTCACCTGTATCTTTCAAGGTTGTCCCAGAAAAGGGTTGTGATGCTGGAGCTGTCCACTTCTGGGTGGTGCCTACATAATGTGCAGAGCCATCAGTGATGTGTTTATAAAAAAAGAGATATGAGAATATGTTCCATGGAGGGGTGGTGAGGTATGGGGGAGGGGATGTCTCAGTGGGCCCATGATGAGCCATCCCTTCCCCCTGAGGGACCAGCCACACAATGGTATAGTATAGAACAGAGTTTATTCAGGGCATGGGAAGGAGAGTTAAGAGTGTAGTAGAGGCAGAGAGAGGCAGAGAGAGTGTGTGTAGAGAAGTAGGGGAGTAGAGGCCAGCCATGAGCACGTGGAGAGAGGAGCAAGGGAAAGGGTGAGGGGACAAAGGGATCAAGAGAATAAGAGGGCAAGAGAGCAAGAGAGGGAGGAGGGGGCAAGTAGCCCCTTTTATTGTGGGCAGGCCTACCTGGCTGTTGCCAGGTTAACTGTGGGGAGGAGAATACCTGACAGTTGCCAGGTAACTGTGGGGTGGAGTTTAGGCAGAATGCTAACAATCAGTAAACCAGGTCCTAGTCTTCTCTTCTTCCAATGTTTTCTTGTAGGTTTCCAGCAGAAGATGTGTTCCACCACACCTAGATCTGGGACTTGTTTTGTCTCAGGCTGACCTTGAACTCAGAGATCTCCTTGCCTTAGTCTCCTGGGATTCATAGCCACTATGCTTCAAGATCTCCATGTCAAGATCCAGGTCAGAAACTCCTATCTCCCAGCCTCAAAATCTGGATCACAGGTAAGCCTTCCAATTCTGGAGTGTAGTTCATTCCAGATATAGTCAAGTTGGCAACCAGGAATAGCCATTACAAGACCCTTTCTTTAAAATAAAAGTCATAGACTGTCAACAGTCACTCCCAATGAATTAAACTGTTGTCTTCTGGCTTGTGTAGTCTAGCATATTAACTGTAGGCTTAGCCATGTGATTTGTCTTAGCTGATAAGAGAGACTGTACAAACCGGATTTAATAAACACTTGCTCGTTTGAGGACTTACTGTATTGCCTTTCATATGTAAAATAGTAGGAGAAAATAGAATGCATAAGCAAGACACTTATGGAACGGCTTGCACCTAGAACAAATGGGTAAGTGTTGAACTAGATTAAACAAATGGTTTACATGAGAAGTCATGGGAAAATAAGTAAACCTTAAATACCAAGAAGTTCAAAAGAAGTGCCTCTCCTCTCAAAATGTAGCTGAGTGGCGCACAGTACTTGCCTAACACACGCAGGGCCCTGGGTTCAATCC